GTTCTCATTTTTTTCCGGTTATTGCTTATTTTTTGTGAGCAGCTATTGAACTTGAGAGATCAGCCGAAAGGTGACCTCTGAAGAACGAAAACACACAGAAAACAAAACGCGCACTTTTTGCTCGGACTCGCCTTGCTTTTAAAGTTGAATAATTGATTCATTCGATCCCGCTTTTTATCTCAATAAGGATATGGATATGCAATATGCTTCCATAAAAGCACCCAAGACTTGAAAACTGCAAATATTAAACGTTACTTTATTTGTGGTTTGCTTTTTTTTCATGCGCCTCATTATACTGATTTTCAGATAACGTACGGCTGCAACCTTATGACTGACTTATTTAAAAAGGATTGCCATGGGCTTCAGAAAATGAATGAAGTTATAATTTCGGATTCTGGCACGAATTTTAAACCCCATTCAAATTCTGCACTGATGGACCCTGACGAGGTAAAACACTGAATCGCCACGCCTCTGATTTAATAGTCCTTTAGTTTGACGGAGAGAATTAATTAGGTTAATAACACAGCTTTGAACATTTGCGCTCTAGGTATCCATTTTTCCGCTACTCAAGCCTCTGGATTCAAAGACCTACAGTACTAATAATGCGCATAATCAGATCAAGGTGCGCGCGTTTCACCTGTATATTCAGTAAGTGTTACATGCGATAAAAAATTACGACCGTGAAAAATAAAACTGCATCACTGAACAAACAGATATTTTTCTCATATCATTGTCCAGCAGGAACACTGTCTTTTGTGAATTTTAAAATTACGTCGATGCCACTTTTAATATACTACGCGACCGCATAGCTAGGCAGGAATCAACTAAAACTGAACGAGGTTTTCTAACTAGTAATGTTATTATCATGAATAATTATAAAGCCCTGGGTGTTCGCCTTTTTTGCCGTAATCATGTTTATGTTGATCTATCGTTTTCAAATGAACACAGCTCCGTCGCTCCTAAAGTACAGTCACGATCAGCAGAAATGTTTGCAATCCTACTGCACTGGACTACATTAAGTTCCGTAAAGTGCTGGAGTCTTGCAAAGATGATAATACCAGGGTTTTAAACGAGCGCAATGCAGGCTAATCGCTCACGGTGCAGCGATCGCCTTCTCGCCTGTATAGTTGGGAGGTTTGGATTGTATTTTCTTCACAATGCAATCGCCCCCCTGCCATTGCTGCTTTGTTTAACAGTCTTCGGAGGCAAATATGTACTTTCGACCTGAATTAATTTTTATACAAACATATTCAAGCTGTTGGCTTTTACCTGGGCTACTGGCTACAGGGGGCTCAAGTTAATTATGACCGCTCCTTCTTTATTGTAGATCAGAGAGGGTTTATTGGCCGTCTGGAAACGTTTGTCGTCTCTTCCTGGGGTCACTCATGTTTTCAGAGCGAATTGCCTCCGCTGACGCGATGTAGTGGATGGGTGGTAAATATGTAATTTGCTCCATCATCTGTTGCTGCCGGTGTTCCGGGCAATTCGGTTTCCCAATGTTTCCCCTGTCTATCAGGGAATAATGTTTCTCCTAATATTTAGTCAAATATGTAAGTTTGATGTCTGAAAATCACTCAGGTACATTATTACATGTGAATACAGTAGATCGTCACGCATAATATGGTCTTATATAAGCAACACTATACCGTTTTCATTAGGAAATATCTCTATCCAGCGAATTAAATACTTTCATTTATTATCTGTAAAAACAAAAAACATCGAAAGGCATGTGATGTTTTAAAATATATGGCTTGTTTACCTCAAGAGCTTCTTAAAAAGACATGAAAACAACAGCGAAACCGTGTACAAATCAGCGCGGGACAGGGGAAACATAGGGAAACTGAATTGCCCGGAACACCGGCATATGAGGCCGCTGTTATCACGCGTGTGGATGTGGAGGAAGAGAAGAGGAGGGCCGTGGCCGACCATGTGTGTTAACCAAGCTGAATTTTGAGCTCTGCCGGTGCATTTAGCTCAGTTGGGATTTCTGATGGGGTACTGTGGTCGGGGGGTGGGGACGAGACGAGCTTCCAGTGCGTTTAGTGTCCAGCTGCCCGGATTAATGCGTAAATCTGTGACAGAAGGCACACGCCCCTCGCCACTAACTCTTTCTCTCTGCCTCTCCTCCCGCTCTCTCTCTAATGAACCGCACTTGTGACCAGGAAGATGCAAGTTCAAGTCCTCGATGGGCCCCACAGTTACTTCGTGCAAGTTTCTTGTCCCAACCTGCCTAAATTAAAAGGCCCTATCTGGATCCACGAATGGGAGGAGTCTACGATGATGCACATATCGTATCTGCCAAGCAACCTAGTAAAATTTAATTGATAGATACATTTACTGTAGTTATTTTTGGAGTGAAAACAAATTAATTTGTACCTTTAATATCCCTGCTGTTTAAAACTGTCATTGTTAACACATAAATATATATAATACATATATAAATGTTCGTATATAAATGACACATAAATAACGACCAAAGCTTTGTACATTTATAGACTGGGATATTTTATTATTTTAGTAAGGCGCTTGAAGTGTATTCAACAAGGCACTTAAAGGTAAAATCCCTTAATGAAAGGAACAACAGATCTGGATCTGAAGAACCGCTTACAAGTCTGTGTCCCCGGGGTTACTTGCTGACTTTACAGTTTAATCTGACTTTAAGGTTTAAACTGACTTTAAGGTACTTCATGGCAGTCATGTCGCCACTTTACCATGATTTCACATAGGAGGCTATGAACTGAAACCGCTCATTTCCCACACAGATATGGCAGAAAGTCAGCCAGTCTCAGTGTTTAAGAGCAGCTATTCTGAGTCGCAGAAATAACGGCTTTAACCTTTTGAGCCCTAATAACTACATTATGAATTATGAAGTGTTCCTCTCGGCATGACTTAATAATTTACGTGCACTTCCCGCTGTAATAAATATCCGTGCAGGTATACATGTTTTCTTAGCATCAGGTTCACAGAGCATTGCCAAAACAAGCTACTTTTTTCTTTCTAAATGATCAGCTGTCTGTATGTTCAGCGGCGAGCCATGAAGTGAAATACACTATTGTTAAGGTTCAGGCAGAATTTACAGTCGCGCCATATGCTTTTCCCCATGTGGACCTCAAGTCCGACAAATGCATCTGTGCCTTTTCAGCATGGCATCTACATTCAGTTTGCATGAAACTACCCCTTCACCCGTCCGCACCAGAAATATCTCACTTTTGGATTTTTTTTTGGTTTCTCGTATTTTAATCGCAGATAACTGCAGCCACAAGAATCGTCATTTAGGAAAATTACGAAATTTCTCGCACGATGTCGGTAATTCAGTCTCACCTATGCCCCCGCTCCCACCCCCATCCCGTACCTTTTTTTTCCTGCAAACCCAGCGCCGTGTGCTGTGTAATTAAAACGCCCATATAAAGCTCATTGTTAGAAGTTTAGTTAGCTAAATCCCCTTTGAACAAATAAAGTAATGGAAAACCCGATACTTGGATGGCTGTCTAAACTTTGATTATGGTTTTATGGAGGCGGGGCGCAGCGGTAGAGCACTCACAATGCACGGGGTAAATAAACGATCGCGGGGGGTTTTCATACCTGTGCTGCAGTGTAAATCTATACTGTTTGTCTGCGCGCAACAGGACCCTTTAATTTCCTGGACTGTCAACAGAGGCACCTGCGGTGGTATATGGGAGGCCCGCCTGGCGGAAAGTAAACCTCATTTCTCATATTAAAGTATATAGGTTTCAATTAACGTCGTTTAGTACGCTCATTGACCAGCGGCCTGAGCGGAAGGATGCAAATGATTTTGTCCAATAGGTACCGGATCGGCTGCGTGAATGGCGTCCCGCTAGGAGCGCTACAACTTGCGGGTTTGACCACTGGCACGGAAAATGCGAATCGGGCTGCAGCACTAAAGGTCGACGGAGCTGCTAAGTGACGGTACCGTTGTGAGGTTTGGGTGGCGGGGGGGCTCTGAGTGGTAATTTTTTTAAAGCCAACGGTCTATGACTGCTTAGCAAAAAATCCTGCGGCTGGCAGGCGTCCTGCTGCAGAGTCCCCGTTTAACACACGCTCCTAAAGCCGCCTCCGTCGTCTCCCGGGAAGCTCCAACTGTCCCCGCTTCTCGCCGAAATAGTCACACAGCCTGGCTTCTGCTCAGTCCTGAATAATATAAAGGGCCGCCGCTCTACTGGATATTTTGGTTTTTTTCGGATTTCGTTTTGAATATGATATTGCCAATAACTGCCAATTTAATGTGCTTAGCTGGTAGCACCTCCAGCTGGTAGCTGAACTTTGAAATTGTGAAAGGAGAGATTGAGGCTAAGAGCATGAAGAGGGGGCGAGGTAAAATGAGTTGTGATTGTGTGTTTGCGGGCGGGGGGAGCGAGGTAAAATGGGTTGTGATTGTGTGTTTGCGGGCGGGGGGAGCGAGGTAAAATGTGCAATGAATGTAGGCCTACGTTTGCAAGAAATCACTAATCATGCATTAACATACATTAATCATACAGTATTTAAACATATATTAATCATGATCTATCTGCTGAAATGCAAAGCTGCATTGTGTTCCTGTCATTTCATGCAAAAAAAAGTTTCCCTTCTTAAATGGTCTATTGCACAGTGCTGTAAGTTTAGTTAGCCTACCC